GTGGCCGGGAGCAGCCACTGCACTCCAGTCTGGGCAACAGAGTGAGACTCCAACTCAAAAAAAAAAAAGAAATTGCCATTCACCTTCCAAAATAGAAACAGGTGTTCTTTAAATTGTCACGTGCAGCAACAATGCTTCTTACAAACAAATCAGAAACAAAAGAAGGCAGAAACTGACTGCAGAACAGCATTCCTGAGACGATGCCCCCGGGTTTCCCAGTGGACACACATTTCCCTTCACGTGATTTCTACTACTTGCCCCTGCCACACCAGAACTCATCTCCAAATGGAATTTTTTCAATTAAAATAGCAAATAGATCACACAAATAAGGCATCATACTTTCTTAGGAGATTTCTGAAAACTCTCTTTTCTTTTTTTGAGTTAGAGTCTCACTTTGTCACCCAAGCTAGAGGGCAGTGGCACGCTCCCGGCCACCGCACCCTCAACCTGCTGGGCTCAGGCGATCCTTCCACCTCAGCCTTCCAGGCAGCTGGAACTACAGGCATGCACCACCATGCCCAGATAATTTTTTGTTTTACTGTAGAGATGAGGTCTCATCAAGTTGCCCAGGTTGGTCTCAAAACCCTGGGTCAGGCAATCCTCTCACCTCGGCCTCCCAAAGTGCTAGGATTATAGGCTGAGCTACCGCGCCCAGCCAATTCTCTTTTCTGAGAGTAAAAACTGTCAGCATTTCAATTCTAACATTCCTGAAAGAATAACCAGGTAGCTAAAATGCTGAGTGACTTAACTGTGTGCATCAGACACTTCAAACTTAACTATAAAGCACATGCTACTTTACGGCAAAAAAGAAAAAGAAAAAAAGAGGAAATCTTTATAAAATGATAGATGTAGAAAAAGTGGTTTCACAGATGAAGTTTCTAAAATTTAAAGTTTTATCTCTAAAGTGTCTCCTTAAACAAATATTTAGTTAAGATTTCCAAGTAGATTTGTGCCTTTAACATCATTTTTAGAAATTACTAACCTTAGCAAAAGTATAGGGAAAAACTTATACTCAAGCATTGTCAGTGAAAGAATAAATTAGTATAACATTTCTGAAAAATCTTTCAGTCTTATCAAAACTTTAAGCATACATAGCAATTCTACTTCCAGGAACTTACCCTACAAAAATATCTGCCAAGATGTATGTGTAAGGACCTTTCTAGGGGACTGTGCACAAAACAAAAGCAATGCAAGCTACACCAACAGCCATCTAGGAGGGAAGAGCCCAGGAATCAGGGCACACCTATGAATGGAACACCAAGTAGTTTCTAACAAACTCAAGCAAATGTACAGACTCCACAGTGGCCGAGTTCAGTGGTGCATAGCAGTTAAAGCTTTGCCTGGAAGGAGGGCGTGCTAGCAGGATTGAGTAGAACATGCGCACATCAGAGGAGCGCGAGCAGGCCATGGCCCTCGAGAAAAAGCTCTGGAGGGACCCACATCTGGGGGAAACATGGGCTGGGGCTGCGGAGGTGAGGGAGGCCAGGGCTGACAGTGCTCACATAGCTAGGATCTGAGTGTTCACATGAGCACGCATCCCTTTTTCTTCTGACTAATCTCAAGGAGAGAGAACGCTTGGAGCAGTCTGGCTTTGAAAACCCGAGAGAACAAGGCTCCACTGACCACCCCGCAGCTCCATACCTGGGTGGTCAGGACTCAGGTCTTCCACCGCGATCTGAACCACATCCGCCAGGTCGTGTTCCGACATCATCCAGAGAGGGAGGGGAGTGGCTGACCCCACGCGAGAGTCCAGTTCACAGTGGGGCTGGGCGTCTGTCACCTGTCAAACAGAAGTGGAGAGACAGGAGAGGGAAAGTAACAATCGTGATAGTGACATGACGCCTCCTGGCCACATGTGTACACGCCAGAGGACATAGCATCTGTGGATTTTCTCATCAGGGTTCTTTTTGCCCAAACACACAGAGGTCAGTGTTCCCTAAGAACCAAGAAGTAGTCACAGTGCCATTTGCTGCTTCTCTCCTTGACCACCCGCCAGCCCTGCCAAGAGCCCCCGCCTCCCACCTCATTCCCCTGCCGCCTTAGAGGCACATTCCCAACGTGGCTTGGACACGGTATCCCTGAGCCAAAAGGCTCCCGTGGGGTCTAATATCGACAGCAAATGTCCTGCCATTTCCACTCCCCATAGGGTCTCAGTCCTGCTATGCCCACCACTCGCCAGGAAGCCGGCATCCAGCTGAGTCGCACCACTGGTCTCTATGGTAACACACTGTCCCTCCTCCCAAATCTCTCCCAAGTGGACCCTCCTCCCGCAGGCCAAGCAGAGCAGCAGAACCAGGAGGGTAAGCTCCACCCACCTGCAGACAGCACAAGGGTCTGCAGCGGTGCCCAAGAAGCCTAAAACTTCCCAGACCCCGAGAACTCTCAAAACACCATTCAGAGCTCCCTTCTAGACTAAATACATTGAAATGAGACAACTGGGAATGAATTACAAAGTATACAGGATGTGAAATTAGAGACTAAGAAAATGAAAGTTAATTAACAGTGGGAGAGAAGAGCAGAGCCAGGAGAGCTCAGAGAAGAAGCTGCCACATCCTTAACACTCCCTAAAAGCAACACAGGGTAGACCCCCAAACTGTGGAGTTAGGAAAGCTATTCTAAATCAAGCCTCCCTTCTGTACATTCAGGAAAACTAATTCCACATAAAAGTGAGCCACAGAAAGTATTGAGGTCAAATCTCATGCAAAGACAACATATTTTAAAAGAGAATAAGGAGCAAAATAACATCACTACACACAATGAAAGTATGCCAGAAAGACTCATCCCCCAAAAGATGAGTGCTATAGTCTAATATTTCAAAATAAGCTGAAACACATCAAAGATGTAAAGATGTCATTAACTACAAACCAGCATTAGAAATGTTCAAAAATGAGGAGACAGGCTCAGAAAATATTAGAAATAAAAGAAAAATAATTTCAGAAAGGAAGACTGAACTAAAAGAAACTTAGAGCAAATAAACAATAGATTGTGTGCTAAGAAAACAAAATGAAAAAAAAATTAAGAATAAGAAAGAAATGGAAGAGATAAAAAGAGTTCAAGATAAAGCTGCATGTTAAGACAGGCAAAGAAGATTCAACATATGTATAATAGGAGACTCTAAAGATTAAAAACTACAGCAAGGAAATGGAATACTAAAAACTAATTCAAGAAAACTTTCCAGAAAGGGGAGAAGAGGAATGTTTGAAACTACTTATTAAAACCAGAGGGGATAAAAACAACCCAGAACAACCAGACTAAGACACATTCTAATAAAATTATTATTTAAAGAAAAATTCCTTTAGACAGCCAGGAAAAGATTGGGTGGCTTATTATGGAGAGAAAATTAGATTATCACACTACAACAGAAAAAAAATTAATTAACATATTTAAGATACTCAAGGGGGGTGGGGGGGAGATACTCAAGAAATGAAATGTAAGCCAAGAATTTTATATCCAGGCTGAGCATGGTGGCTCAGCCTGTAATCCCAGCACTTTGGGAGGTTGAGGTAAGAGAAGTTCAAGACCAGCCTGGGCAACTTGGTGAGACCTAGTCTCTACAATAAGTCACAAAAACTAGCCAGGTGTGGTGGCATGCATCTGTAGTTCCAGCTATTTGGAAGGCTAAGGCGGAAGGATCACCTAAGCGTAGCAGGTCGAGGCTGCAGTGGCCCTAAGTGTGTCACTGCCCTCCAGACTGGGTGACGAGAGTGAGACTCCAGCTCAAAAAAAAAAAATTTATATCCACATAAAGTTATTTAAGTATAAAGGCAGTATATTTCTATCAACAGTCAGTACTCAGAGAATGTGCTGAGTATCCTTCCTAAAGAAGGTGATAAAAGCCAGCTTCCGATAACCAAAATCACTTGATAAGACTGCACGGGACATGGGTAGTGGACACATACTGGGTTTACATGTAGAACCAAGACTATGGAAGAAGAGAAAGGAGACAGCATGGTCTGCAATGGCTGTGTGCTGTGGCAACACTTTACAGGTGCTTAGGTTTTTTTGTATCATTGTGAACTTGTGGATTTAAGCCTAATAAAGTTGTGATCCATGTGGATGGTTCATTTATTTACCTTTGCCCAGGAGAAGCTTCTTCAAGTTGGCCCCCACATCCTTCTGACACAACCCTGGGCTTGGTCATTTCCTTACATCTGCTGTAACAAGATATCCTGGGCCCAACTTGCATATTTCTTCCCTCAGATCTAGTACCAGCCATTTCTTCAAGAAGCCCTGGTTTCTTGTGATGAGAGTGGTATTTCAACACCTTACTCTGGGCTCTAGGGAGGCACACTGCACCTGGGTCAATCAGTGTTTCTGTACATTTGTAGTAGACAGAGCTAGCGTAGATATAAACACACATGTGAGCATGCACACACACAAGTTCATACTTTCAGCCCACATTCACGACTCCAAGGTGTTTACCTGACCTCTCCTAATTTCCATCTCTGCTTGTCCTTGCTCTCAAGGACATCAGGAATTATAGAACTGCAGTACCCTATACATACTTATGTGCAGCAAAACATTCTCAGAAAGGACTTCCAACACTCCCACTCGACAGGATTACTAAAGATTGTTAATATTTGTTTTTGGTATGCTCTCCCCATTTCTCTCCCCATTTTAGACAGCTAAGTCGTGTTTACATTGCCAGAATACACAGTCACTGAACACTACGCTTTCTTCTTTCTGTTCTCAGTAGTCTTGGTTCTACATGCCACTGAAGCATGCTGTTCACTACCCACTGTTTATATGTCTCTTCAAGTGATTTTGGTTATCAGAAGCTTGTTTTTTATCACCTTCTTTGGGATGGCAAAATTCAAACAAACCAGGAAATGAATACTTGCTACACACAGACCAAAGAGCTTTCTTCACAGCAGTGAAGACCAGTAGCCCTAATCAATGAGCATAGGACACGAATGTGAATTCACAGAAAAAAAGATGTCATCAATTACGTTAATTGTTCAAGTGCAAATCTAAGCAAGACACCACTTTTCACCTATCAGATTGGCAAAAATCACTAAGCGTGGTGCTCTTTGCTGTAGTAGTGTCAGAAAACAGCAGTGCTCGCACTTTTGGGAGTGCACATCCTTTCTGAAGAGAACAGAAACCGCTGTCCAAATGCTGCAAGGCCATAGTCCTCAACTTTGCCATCCCAGCAAAGAATCCCACCAGCACAAAAACTCACATAATATGTCTACAAAGATTTACGTAAAAAACAAACAGGCCGGGCTTGGTGACTCAGCCTGTAATCCCAGCGCTCTGGGAGGCTGAAGTGAGTAGACGGCCTGAGCCCACGGGTTCAAGACCCACCTGGACAACTTGGCGAGACCTCATCTCTACAATAAATCAAAAATTAGCTGGGCGTGGTAGTGCGTACCTGTAGTTCCAGCTACTTGGAAGGCTGAGGCGGAAGGATCGCCGGAGCCCAGCAGGTCAAGGCTGCAGTGGCCAGGAGTGGCCACTACACTCCAGTCTGGGTAACAGAGTGAGACTCCAACTCAAAACAAACAAACAAAACAGAACAGAACAAGTAGCCATCATTTTTAGCAGCAAAAGAATGCAAGTAAGCATGGCACAGCTCAGCAATGGAGTGCCACGCCACTGTTACAAGGAATGTGTCAGAGCCCCCTAGGGAAACCCCAAGAAACAGTGCTCCGTGAACAGAAATAGGGAGAACATGTGGACAGCATGCTTTATTTTTAAGAAATGTTAGATATGCACAGAATACTTCCAGGTTAAGATACACAGGACTGTCCATAGACCGGAACGCTTTTCACTCCGTTATAATATTTGCATGTTGATCATGTGCCTTTATCACTGTTTCAAAAATAAACAAAATATGCTTTTTAAAAATGATTGGAGTAACTACCTAGGTATGATCTGTGGGTGGGGTCTCAATCCCAACATCTGTCATGCTCGGTTGACACCTTTCCAACACTGGTGCCAATGTTTCCAGCCTGTGGCCTTCAGGACTGCTCCAGGGAACTTCAGTCGAGCAGAAGCTATGTTACCAGGTTTAGTGGACCAGACAGGCCTGCCACGTGTGATGAAAGGATGTAGCCACACTAAACATGTCCTCCGAAGAGGACTCTCAGTCAGATAAACTGAGAGTCAGCTTGAAGATCACAGCTACACAGGCCACGAACTCAGCCTTCTTTTTTCCACATTAAGACCCAGAAGCAAAGATTATTAAAGGGATAAACTAAACTTCTTAATGAAAGCTGTGGCTCTCAGCTGGGCAATGCCACCCAACCAAACTCGGCATTGGTGCATTAAAACATTTTAGGGTCACAGATGCTTGCTTTCAGAGCCAAAAGAACTAGCTCTAAACACTTTTCGAGAAAAAAGCACCAAGTTTTGCAAAGTGGCAGCGGCTTCACTAGCACCAGTGATGGCTGGCTGTCCATCAGTGTCAGTTATCCCTATCTTAGCAAACAGCCCGAGTGCACAGGGGTGTGTGACCACTGGGCACGGACGTTCTTTCATGGCCTCTCTCACACCACGCACAAGACACAACTCCTAAGTGTACATGGCAGCTTCTGGGAATCCTTAAGAGATAGTTGGCGGCCCCCTGCCCCTTCTACTGCTCTCCTGCTGGGCAACAGGCCTGGAAGGACAGGGCAGAGGGCACTGGAATGGCGGCAACAGGACTGCATGGAAGAAGCCCAGCCTGCCTGGACCTCCCCACGAGAGGGGAAAATGACCAGCACCTGGTTCCAGATGGCCTGCCAACACAGCCAGTCTCACCAAGCGCTGCGCCAGAGCTGCTCTGCAGACGGCCCG